GAAAAACAGCTTTTGGTCTTAACTCTTTCAATTGTTTTTCTATTCTTTATTTAATTTAATTCTGCTGTAATTCTTATTATTTCCTTTCTTCTGGCAGCTGAGGGCTTCTTTTGCTGCTCTCTCTCTACTTGTTCCAGTTGTAGGGTTAATGTTTTGATTTTGGCCTTAAGGACATGTTCATATTTATGTATTAGATCTATGAAACAAGGCAGTGGGAAGCACACAAATTAGATCAGTAGTTACCTTGGAGGGCAGCGTGAGTGATGGAATAAAGAGAAAGCTTCCAGGGGCTTCAGTGATATTAGAGATGTTCTACTTCATAAGCTGAATTATTCTTTACATTATTTTTTCATATCATGCTGTACATTCCTTATATGCTCAGATTAGTTCATAATGTTAAATAATACATACTTTTAATGCATATCCCTTAAATTGAAAGGGAAGTAGAGAATATAGACATCCATTTTCTCAGTGATTTTAGCTTAGTATAGAATAATATTTGGAAATTCTCCAGCATTGGAACAAATTCATGATTCTTCAGCTGAGCCCCTAAGGAAGTATTTGATTTGCCCTTGGGAGCCATGTTTTATCACTTACGTATCTTGAAACATTCACTGTTATGTTGATTTGTTTCACCATAAAGCACTTTGGAACTGAGACCAACAAAGGGATCAGGAGATTAAATAAACATCTTACACACTCACTGGTGAATTTATGGTCATCAATTAACTGGGTAAAATAGCAAATGAAATCTCAAAGCAGTACTCAAATTTCTCTTTTTTGTTGCTCACGATCATATATAGCTAAATGCGCATAAATATGCTTTGTATTCTTCAGTCAGTCCACTTTCTGTAGATTTCAAAAGAACATTATTGATACATCTTTCTAAATGAGGTTCTTAGCAAATTAAGTTTTAGCTAAACTGGGTTATCGCCATATCCCAATAGGACAATCTTAAAACTTCAGTAGCAGTAAGGAATGAGGGTTGGGGGTAGGAGACCAAGTAAAGCTAGAAAAGAACAGGGTAGAAGGCAGAGCAGTCTTATTCAGATTGAAAAATGGAATTCCAATCAGCTCTTCAATAAAATTTAAGTGGCACTGATAACTGGTCAAACTAGATATTAAAAAAAAAAAAAAAAGGAATTGGAGTAGCCTTAAAAAGGTAGATGAGAACTGGGAAACAGTTTATTGTTTCATCTCCCCGGACAGGCCAGCTTCGAAACTGTCAACAGACCTAACTTTTGTTTCACGTGATATTTTCCTACACTTGTTGTTGTGCACTTGTTATTCTTTTTCTAGCTGTGTTCTGTTTTAGGGTGTTTAGGTAAACACGGTCCTGAAATAAACAAGTTTGTATGTGTAAGAAAAACAATTATGATGAGTAAAAATAACAATATCAAAATAAACATTTAGGTAATAGTTTGGATAGCATTAACATTCTTATAAGAAGAAAAATTTTGGCCCAAAAAGGACGTTGATAGGATATATTTGGTCCCTTTTAATGCAAGCCAAAAAAAAAAAAAAAAGATTATCTGGATTAAATTATTTGTAAATATCAGTGTCTGATTATGTTCTAGGTTCTATACAAATCTTTGAACAGATTTTGTCTCATTTCTAGAATGTTGTAACCAAATTGATGGTGTTACTGTGGATTACAGAACAAGTATAGAAAAAAATTTATAGACTACAGAAAGCATGACACAACAATTTAATTCATATTGGTTTAGCAATCTGTGTTGGTTTTACCATGACATACTGATTTTATTGAACATTATTGTGTTCATAGCATCTCATAATTTGACATGTAATTTATATCCAAAGAGTCTTCTCCATATTATTTAAAATAGCAATAACTAGTTAACCAGTTGTTGTTGAGTCGATTCTGACTCACGGTGACTCCAAGCGTGCAGAGTAGAATTGCTCCATAGAGTTTTCAAGGCTGTGACCTTGCAGAAGTAGATCAACAGGCCTTTCTGCCAAGGTGTCCCTGGGTGGTTTGGAACCATCAACCTTCCAGGTTAGTAGTCAAGCACTTTACCGTTTGTGCCACGTATTAATCACATAGCTTTATACAGGATCAAAGTAACTGCAATGCAAAATTATCTCAATCTGCGTGACAACTGGTTTTGGAACTGAGTTTTTTTTACATTTTATAACCAGAGTGTTTATTAGCTTATTGTCCAGGAATAATTTGTTTTCTTTGTCCTACTGTTTATTCATTTCAGCACCAAGAAAATGAAGGACAGTATTACCACTGAGTGATACTTCTTACAGAGAGCTCTGTTAATCAGGTTACTAAGGCAAAATCACTCTATATCCTTGAATGATATTTTTTTCTTTTGTTTATTGAGAGACAGTCATTTTCTCCCACTGCATTCAAGATCAAATTTTGCTAGTTACCATGGCAATATTTTTGTTTATTCT